CTTCCATGAAAGGATTTGGGATCAATAAGTGCTTTAACAGTTACTTCAGCTCGAATGAATGTACAATCCACTATCAATCTTTTGTGAATTTCTCGAAGCACCTCATCTTTCCATATATTATTTATACTGCAACATTTTTTAAGATCCTGTATCAATAGATTCTTTAGAATAAATGGTATTAATTCAGGCGCAAGCTTATCAAGCAAATTAGCTGTGTGCATTTTATATGATTAGAAGTCGGCTTCACCAGCCATTATGACAACCTAATTCCAATATATCTATGATAGTTGACTCTGGTGCTGATCATCCCATTATAGCTATAAATAGACAAACACCAAGGAATTATTTGATAGCATTATTCAACGATCTAGCTAGTCTGGAACGGTGATTATCTGTCCGAAAGATTTATTTTTTATATTAAATACACCTAAACTACAAAGGGATATTCGACTAGGATGGTACTTGATATAGAACCCAAACAAGAGCTTAACGATCTTTGAGAATCACTTGTCAACTTAAGACAAGACTTATGGAAAACTTACGCAAATCTTGGATCGATTGCGCAATACTGCGAAGGTAAGATTAATGATAAAAGTTATCAAAGATCTGTCATAGAATTAGAAACTAACTTTACTATCACCGAATTTATTTCACGAAGTATTAAATATAGGGGTCAGGAACCATTATCTTCTCATTTGACATTTGAAACTTCACGAGGCTCATTACACCGTAGATTACGTAAAAAAGATTTCCCAGAAGAGATTGTCAATGACAGTTGTAGTACACCTGAATTAACCGATTCCGATCTGGAATAGTAGCGCTAAACTTAATTAGTTTCTGATCTAACTAGTCTGGAGCAGTGATCACCAGCTCAAAAGAATTTGCTGAGCCATGTATTAATAAAAAAATTGAATTTTACAGGTATATATGATAAGCGAAAACATATAGTCATGGAACCGCCATTCCAAGGCTATAAACAAATTCATCTGTATCTAATAACATTTTAATAAAACATTCATACTAGAGCTAGTATATGTCCTGATCCTAAAACATTCGTCTTGGTGAATGCATCATATAATGCACCCGATCTATGCTTTAAAGAAGCTAAATTTGAATAATGGAGGAATTTCATAAGCACGTCGTTCCTCCAAGTTTTCATCTCTTCTTGCTCCCAAGTTATTCCTATTAACGTAGTCAAGTTATCAATGGAATAGTTCATTTGGATTAGATTCTGGAGCGAAGATCGTTTATTTTTTTCCAAAGTAAATAGACTCATTCCTCCTATAACAGCAGACTCCACACTAATAATAAATTTTTCACGAATATCTGCTCTAATTGCTAAGACAGATAAAGGCAGAATTAAGGCTGGATAGTAGAAGTCGACTAGGGGATCTAATGCAAATTCACCGATATACATAGTTCCAATATCCTCTAAATAATCTGAAAGTCTATCAGCGTATCTGTAACCTTCATGGATCAGCTTCCGGAATAGCTTTCCATTTGGATCGATCCATCGGCCGGTTAGTAAATTAAGTACTGTTCTATGCATGGTTATAACGTTAGTATGAAAAGACGTTTATGACATATCTTAATGTCGAATAATTTAAATATACTATTTACTATAAATTAATACGCAATAAAATTGATTGGTTCTATATCCTAAAATACTTACATGGATCGTGTTACTTGCCTGTATATCAAATGAGACAGTACTATTTGTGGGAGAGTCTGCACTCGCACTACTGGCTGTACAAAACATCACACATTGTATGAAAAAAATATGGAAAGAAAACCCTGCCTTGTTAGTAGTTGTGGTAAACTTACAGATTCTACTACAGGATGTTGTCCCGATCATTCGGGTAGATTTCATTCGCTAAATTATCGGATGAGGCAGAAGTATAAGCCTGAGACCCTTCAACCTGCAAAGACCTCTGAAATATCTGCTGATAAGTGAGCAAAAAATATGAAGGCTTCTGCAGAATCATTATATAAAATATTGGCAGAAGCCTTCATCTTAAAATATATATCCTGGTTGGAGTATGGTTTATTACATTAATATATCATCGGGTGGAAGCTCACTATAGCCATACCGAGTATCTTTTTCATCTACCCAGTAAATTTCTTTTCCTGTTTGGTATGGAGGTAATACTGGGG